CCCTGTGAGCACAGTTCTACTCTGACACACACGGGGCACCATGAGTGGAATCTACTTATGAAACATCATCCACTGAGAACCCTGTGGGGCACAGTGTTATACCAGTCTCCTTTGACACTGAGAACAGACCCCAAGCTTCTTACCAGGGCCTAGGATGCCTCCCCAAGCTGCCTCTTGGCCACCACGCTCCCCACTAGTCTCCAGCTGGGCAGCAGCCTCACTGACTTCTTTACAGATCCTGTAACACCCATTGTGGCCTCTGAGTCTCCCCGCATCACCCTCAGCTAGCTGGGTTCTTCTCACCTTTTATGCCTTGCTAGAATGCTGGCTCCTCAAGAAAGGCCATCTTCGAGTCTCCTTCACAGAACTGCACACACACTCTATACAGGGTTGCTGTGAGTCAGAGCGGATTTGACAGCATCTAACAACAATGGACTAAAGCTCCAAGTGGGGTGGGATCAGATAGCAGCACCCTGGGACAGCAAGGTGTTACCCAGAAGGGATGAGTGAGTTTCCGTCCTGACATTTGCTGCTGTTGGCCCTGACTCAGGAATCCCGGTCACAATGGAACACAGCGCTGCCGTGGTCCTATGCCAACATCGTGCTCAAGTTCAGATCGGAGCACTGTGAGGTAAAGGGCTTCCATGGGTTTTCTGAAGTAGGTCACCCACCTTTCTTCAGCCTGGACACGCCACTGAAACCTCCATAGACAGACAGCTATGCAGGCAGTAGGGAAGTGAACCCCTGCCATCAGGGTGATTCCAACCTCCTAGGCTATATGTCCTTGTGCAAACTCTACGTCCTTATGAAAAGCAGATTGCCACATCTTCCTTCCGTGGAGTAGTTAGTCGGTGGGTTCAAATGCCTGACCTTTCAGTTAGCAGTCCAGTGCTTAACTCACTGTACCAGCAGGGCTCCTGAACCACACCCCACCCCATCCTGGCCCCTCAAAAAAATCCAAATCCACTGCCACCAAGTTGATGCCAACTCCTAGGACTCTACACACAGTTTCTGAGACTATAAATTTTGACGGGAGCAGATGGCGTCCTTGTTTTTCTCAGGGTGACTAGTGGGTTTGAACCACCGACCTTGTAGTTAGCAGTCCAATGTTTAACCTATGGTGCTACCAGGGCTCATTTGTGCCATTGAGTCAGTTATGACTCACAGCAACCCTGTATTAGGTTTCCAAGGATCAGGTAGTGGGTTTGAACTGCCGACCTTGTGGTTCGCAGTCCAGGGCTGATCCTACACGGCAGGACTCCAATAGGCTAAATAAATGTAGAGTGCTCATTTCAACAAAAACTGTTCTTTTACTGAAATCAAGTGCATGGGATGACTAAAGACAAATTCAGTTCAGTCGGATGGGTGTCTAACAGAGTTGTTAATTGCTGTTGAGTGGGTTCTGACTCATAGTGACCCTGTACAAGGTTTCCGAGGAACGGCTGGTGGGTTTGAACTGCCGACCTTGTGGTTGTCAGCCCAGTGCTGATCGTACAGTGCCACACCAGGAGTCCAGCTTTGATTTCTAGCCCTTTGCAGTCTCATGGGCTAAGTGATGTATGTGCCTGGTTAAATAAAGACCTGTGCATGGAAGTCACAGGCGTTATTTCTAAGACAATGCATTGGCAAGGCCACGCCTGTGGTTCCAGCTTCCACACTGTCTGTAACCACAGAGCCGCGTGTCCTGCAATCCAGGCTGCAGACCTGAACACCACAGCCGCGGCTCGGAAAGACACGACCCTGAGAGTCACCACACTGCAAGGAAGGAACCCCTCATTTTAGGGCTTGTTCATTACTGCAGGGGGACCTGCTGACCCCACCCACGGGTGGTGTATTGTCTGTAGGCCAGGAAGCAAAATCAAGCTTCAATCAGGTAAACGCACAAAAGGGGTAACTGCTGCCATGTGCCATGTTTTTCTGTGTCTTACATGTGTGCACATACTCCCTGCACTGTTTGGGGGAGTCCTGGTGTGGCGCTACAGGGGGTTGCCCCATACAAGGTCACAATGGGCCAGAACTGAGTCATAACAGCAGCAAAAATCCCATTTGGGCGTGTGGTTTCTTATGTTACATAGCAGTGTAAGTAAGTATAGGGTGTGGGAGTCTAGGTGTGATGTAGGGTAAGCACTTGACCACAAGGTTGGTTTGAGCGCAAAGTCAGTGGTTCGAACTCACCAGCTGCTCCTTGGGAACCCTATACAGGGTTGCTATGGGTCAGAACGGATGTGACAGCACTTAACGACAGCCTAAGGTGTGTATTAAATTCCATTTTGAGATATAAAAGCCACCAAGCACAGATGGCGAGAATGAAATAAGCACTTGGTCTCCAAGGAATGTAAGAATGGAAGCTGAAGAGACAAAAACCTTCCCCCAGAGCCGACGGAGAAAGAAAGCCTTTCTCTTAGAGCCACTGCCCTCATTCACAGACGGCAGCGTCCTAACTGTGAGAAAACCGTTCTGCTCAGGAAACCCACCTACCTGTGGTATTTCAGTGGTTAAGTGCCATCGAGTTGATTCCAACACAAGGGTTTCCACAGAGCGGCTGGTGGATTTGACCCACCGACCTTGTAGTTCACACCGAGATGTGGCTAAGTGCTTATCCTATAGGGCCACACCATTTGTAGAACCCATATTGTTCCCAACCTGATTCAAGCCATCATCATTGCTTACCTGGACCCCCTCCTAACATCTAAAAATCTTAACACATTTTGCTTCAGTGATCAAAACAATGTTCATGGGAGTTTAAAAGCAACACCACCAGCGTTACCCATGGTGGACAGGCTCCAACAGGGCTTTCAGACTAACACACTAGGAAGGAGATCTGCCTCTCAAAATGAGTCAATGAAGATGCTGTGGATAACAACAGAACACTGTACAACTGAGTGCTGGAAGATGAGTGCTAGGGTCGTACCAACGGGCTTGATATACTAATAGGACCAGGCATTGTTTTATTCTGTTGTACACAGGCCACCGTGAGTCAGAGCCCCCCAGTGGCAGCTAGCAACAACTAACAGAATAATTGGGGGTGGGCTACACAAAGCCACAAGGCTCTGAGTAACTGACAACCAAAAGGACGTGGTGGTGGTGGGGGGGTAGGTTCCAGCTCATAGCAACTCTTTATAGGAGCAGAAAGTCTCATCTTTCTCCTGTGCAACGGCTGGTTAGCAGCCTGACTTGTAACCACTACGCTACCAGAGCCCCTTTCTCTGAGCCAAGCACCATGAAAAGCTGTGATTACATCCCTAGGATCCAGACTGAGGCAGGTCTTTGGGGACTCTCACTTCTGGGGAGCAATGGCACCCCCTGCTCAGCAGCTACCAAGGCAAGGAAGAGCAAACTTACCAGTTTCTTGGGACCAGGACCCCCTTCTTCCTCCGCATCGGATGAATTAATCGGCTCCTCCGCACTTGACCAGCCATCGTTGTCTTCAGAGGCCTCCAACGAGTGAGATGCTTTGCTCCAACCTAAGAGTGGACAAGCCTCAGTGATGACTGTACTTAGCAGTGGTGGCCCCTGCCCCCATCGTAAGTGCCCACGAATCCCCCTTAACATGTAACTACAGGGCCTCAAGTAGGCCTGTTGTCTCCAGGGGCTCATAAAGATCTGTGAGGACACGTCAGACTTCCAAGACACTGGGCACATCTTGTTTCAACGATCTGCGCATCTGCTAAGGGCGGCACTAAATCCTAGCCCCTCCTCCTTCCTGGCTTTGCTTTCATCCCACCTCCTGAAGTTCTGTCTTCCCAGAACCAGGAATGAAAGTCCATCCCATCATCTGCCTGCCAGTGTCTGAGGAAACAGGGAAACTTTCCAAGGGACAACTAACTGAAAATACCTCCCACCCGGCCTATATCTGAGCCCATCAGTCAATACCATCGGAAGAGAAGGCATTTCCACTGAATGCTTATGGTTTTAACATGGGTCAGGAAAGCCCATTTCTAATAAAAACACTATTTCTTGAAAACATAGTTCTGAGCACTGGCTGTATATGAATATTCATTTAGGGCTTTTCCTCCACCTGTGAATGAGGGAGGCGGGGTTGTACTGCTCAGTTTATAGCTGAGTAAACTGAACACACAGATTTTCGGTTATGTCTCAGGTGACACGGGCAGGAAATGGCAAAGCTGGGATTCAAACCCAGGCAGTCTGGCCCCATAGCCAGCCCTCACAAGCATGTGCTTACCCCACCACCAGGCCACCAAAGAGAAAACAAGGATGACTAAAACTTCCTTGTGGACTTTAACAAAAACAAAAACTCTTTATCATTAGCATTCCTACTGCCATGTACCCCCTGCCCCCAAACAATAGTAACTGTATTTCCAGTTTGGGGGAGAATTCAAGTTGTGGGGTGGTAAGGGACACTGAGTTAGTACGTAAGTGGAAGTAATGAAGCAACATGTCTCAGTTAAACTCCTAAGGTCATGGTCATGTGTGTGGTGGGTGCTGAGCGGCATGGTCTCCAACGACAAGAGTACCAAGGACAGAAGCACAATACTGCTCATCAACACAAAGCCTTGTCACATCTAAATTACATCTGCAGAAGCTGGCAACATGCTTTTCCCTGAGAAAAAGAGGGTCAAGGAATGACAACAGACACCCCCTTTTATTAAGTCAGGGAGCTTGTCAAGAGGTGAACTGTCAAAGTCTTTCAGTTGCCAACTGTCAGGAGCTTTGAAGAGTGGTAATGACAAGCATGCTTTGGGGAGCTAGAAAGGCAGCATCTGTCTGGAAATGATGGGAGAGGGATCTGAGAGTAACAACTTCCTCCTCAGCCCGCAGAGTGAGGAGACCCAGGAGAGCAATCGGTGCACAGGTGGGAGCCCAGAGCACCTGCAGCGAGTTAGCAGCCCCACCGGGTGCAGCAGTCCGGCTGGCTGGGAAATCCGGCTGGTTTGACCTTCCTGGGGCAGGGCTGCCAGGGCCAGGTGAGATGTGCTCAGCCACTTGACCCTGCTCAGTGTCACTACCAGGCTGGCATCTGTGCAAAAATTTGGGAATGTCAGTGCTTTTTAGCTCTATATCACCCCGATATTGCCTACTTTGAGTACGTGTGCAGTTCAGCGTGGGTAGCTAAGTGAGAGTTCTAGGCTGGGAAAGGGTCATCCCGGGGCTCCCAGGCCTGACCCTCTGCCTGTCAGCAATGGGTTAGATGCTGAAGACAATGCCTAGGAGAATCTTCTCCCCGCTTCAGCCCTGCCACCCTGGATATCATGAAGTATTTACATGGGGCTTCTGGGCAAAACTGAACCACAAATCAGTTTCAGGAAAATGTGAACAGAGATACAAAGACTTTGCTGTTTGGCGAGTTTCTGCCTTCTTTAAAAGTATTTATGTGAAAAACTTCACTCTAAACAACAGTGAGATTATGGAAAACCTAGATCAACTCTGCCCTGGGCAACGTCTGGCTTGTGCTGGGGGCCTCGAGATACATTTTCTCCAACAAATCACAGATCATTTCACTGCAGTAATACAACAAGGGAAGTAAGCAAGTCAGTTACTGAACTCTACACCTAAGGCAACAACCATGGACAGGACAACAACCTGGAAGCTGGACAACTACAGACGAGTACTGAGTTCCTCTTTGATCTCTTTATGATGTTAGGGGGAATATTACATGAGGATATTAGCCCAAGGCGACTCTTGAATGGCATCACTTCTATTTTCTTTAACTATTTCTTGGCCTTGTCAAGGGAGTAAAGCAAGAGACTACAAAGCTCTTCAGGATGCGGATGCTTAAGCAGTTGCAACACCACCAGCCACGGAGGACTTGTGGTTCAGCAGTATCTGTGACAGAAAAGATGGACCACGCTGATGAAGGTGGCTGTCAGCCGGGTCCCAGGCATGGTGTTAAGGGCCTTCATTATGACCCTGTGCTAGGACTCCTGGTGTGGTGCTGTATGATCAGCACTGGACTGTGAACCACAAGGTTGGTGGTTCAAACTCAACAGCCACTCCTTGGAAACCTACACAGAATTGCTTTGAGTTGGAACTGACTTGATAGAACTTAACAAGAGGACCCTGAAAAGGTTGCATTATGATCTTCCTCCTACAAATGCAGGACCAGAAGCTGGAAGGGGTGTAAGTGGTAGAGTCAGTCTCTGACCCCCCCAGTTAATTCTGGCTCCCACCTCCTCACGCTACATGACACAGCTTTTGACACAAAGGAGAAGCAAACAAGGACAATGCTCTAGGTGTCTTCAGACCAGAAGTACATAACGTTTCATGAACAAAACCACACCTTCCTAGAATGTGGCACTGTAGGATCAGCACTGGACTGCGAACCACCAGCTGTTCATCGGAAACCCTATCCAGGGTCACTATGAGTCAGGACCGACTTACTGGTACTTCATGATGACAACAACATTAGACAATATGGGGCAGAATGATTTGCTTTTCTGCCAACGGTATGGGTAACCGTAGCAGGAAGTCGGTGTCCCGCTCATGTTTCGGGCCTAGGAGAACGGCTGGGACTTATGTGCTGCCAACTGGGATCCTTGGCGTTCAGGATGTTGAGTCAAGAATGGGGCAGGAGTGGCACCTGATGGGGGAAGCAGTCTCTTGAGAGAGGGCAGGGATGATGGAAACTCTGGCTTAGTAGGTTGCCTATATCTTTGTTTCCCTTTTAGTTGTTTGGAAAAGTAAGAGGAAGATGTTAGGAAAAGTCAGGAAGATGAAAGGTTGAAATTCTCTCTGTAATCTTGAGACCTTCAACTTAGGTCAGGAAGACTTTGAATATGAAATGGACAAGAACCAAGAAGGTGTAAGTTCCAACATCAAGCCTGACACTGTCTAGCTGGATGAGTTAGATCATCTCTCTGTAAAATGAGGCGCTGGCTGCTTAAAATCAAATACAGAATGTCTTCTCTTAAGGCCTGTGCTTTTAAAAGATCTCTCTGTATGGGATCAAACAGACACCAGCAACTCCAAGCATTCAATAGAAATCTTAGTGGGCAGGAAGTTTATACTGACGGGGGTGGGGGTGGGGAAGCAATACCAAAAAGGAGGTGAGAATCGCTGCCCAACCTGAAGAACATACTCAGTTTCACGGAATGGTACGTGCAAAGCCTTCCCATTGCTGTAGGTTCTCCAGCCTACTCTTGGTGGTAATGGTGTTAAGTGCCGTACAGTCGGTTCTGACTCACAGTGACCCTGTATACAGTTTCCTAGGTATATTCTCAACAACAACAAAAAAGTAAATAAATGATTTTTTAAAATGAGGAGTTGGATTTGATTCTAGTCTATGTCTCCAAACCAAGGAAGCAGCAGATGAGACATGTTGGTGCCCCCATCAGAGCTCTAGGGAGCTTGGCACCAGGTTCCCCTCAGCATAAAGCTGTTGAGGAATAAAATGCAAAACCGAATGCTGACCAGGTGCCAAGAGCAACCTGTAGCCACTAACGAGCAGCCCGTGGTTGGTTTTGTAGGACCTGGGAGGGTCTGATTGGAGGAATTACACCGAGAAGCATGAAGACCAGCCTAACATTTGTAACCAGAGTCTCATGCTTTTGACTAGAACAAGACATGTGTTTCTGGCTAGAAAAACTACTTTTTTGAAATGGGGAACAGCAAAACAGTGAGCGTTTCTAACTTGATGGGTAAATGGGTTGTTGGTCCACATTCGAAAGGCTGAGTCACTCTACCTCTTAAACCAAAGGGCGTTGGATCGCTCCTTACTTCGTGTCGCTTAGCTTTTTTGTCAGGACTGGTAGGAGAAGCTGCAGGAGGAGGAAGAGGCAAAAATAGAAGAGAAGAGAGACAGAGTGAGGAGACGCACACAGAGGGACGAGGGGTACCACGTGAAATACCTCGGCGCTCATGCTGCAATGACACATGGACACCCAATGGGGCTATTTCCACTGATTCAAACAGTAGTTAGTGAACAAAATTAATTGGCCCTGTCAGCTCAGGTGAATGGAGAGGCCCAGAGTGATTAAGAAGAGTTGGGATTGGTTTCTAGCCAGTATCATCATTATATGGGACCACCTGTAGGCACATTTTCTTAACTTGGTAGTGGCAAAATAGACCCAGAATTTGTAGTTTCATTTCTCTTTCATTCACTCTTTCTTTTCTTTCTTCCTCCCATAGTGAGAAGCTAATTTAATAGTATTTTATAAATCATAGGACAAACAAACTAATGATCAGAATCAGTCCAAAGGACCTTAGACACCACTGGCTTTACACATCACGAGTCTTACGCTGGAAACGTCAGGGTTTACTTAGAAAGTACTCACAGTGCATTTCACTCATTAATGAGCTCACGCTACAGCACACACAAAGGTTAACAGCTTTCAGAGACCTTACTCTAAAGGAGGGGTGGGGAAACCTTTTTCTATCAAAATTTTTATAGAATCATTCGCGAGCCATACAAGATTATCAACTTAAACATTAGCTGACCTCTATTTGGTCTAACATTTCATAAACTCCTAATGTGATGGCTGGAACTGCAGTTGCCTTGGCAGGGACAGACCAAATGATTTGGAGGGTCTTACAGGGCCCGCGGGCTGGATGTTCCCATTCCTGCTCTAAAGGGGCCCTTTCTTAGCTCCATTCACTAGCAAATACATCTATAAGCAGATCTGAAACCGGCACCTTAGCAATCTGGCAGAAAATAGACCATTACAGCCGGAAGGTAAATTCACTGTAGGCATCAGAAAAACCAAGATGGGGTGGGAGGCAGGACCAAAAAAGCTAATGAAAACTCCAGTCTCTGAGCAAGGCTTCCTTTGAAAAGCCCAACTTCACTTTATCAGAGGAATCACTTCTGGTAAGGATCACTTTGGCTAGACGTAGTGGGGAGCGTCAAAAAGTTTGTGGAAACAGTGAATCAAAAGATGGAAAATTTCCCCGAACTTTATGCAGTCCCCTCATACAAGTATCAGGAAATCAGTGATTCAGTGGAAAAAAGGTGCAGAAATGGACTCCACTGAAGTGATGGAGGAGGCAAAGAAAGAATTCCAGTTGAGACCATGCCCATGAAGGATCACCAAACGGATGTATGACAGACACGGGATATGGTGATGAGCACGTCCAGAGCAAAGCAGGTGCCTGTTTACCTTTCTGACCTTTGAGGTTAGCAAAGCCCTGCAGGGTAAAGCGCTTTTTGGAAAGCGCAGAACTTTCTGAGGTAGAACTAGTGACTGAGTCATCTACAAAGGAAGAGAGAGAAAGTGTAAAGTAAGGCATTGTCCACCCCAACCACAGGAGGGCCAGAGGCAGCTTTACAAGGTGGCAGAGGGTCCAGCAGGCACGTGCTGGGCAAGGCCAACGGAGGCCGGGCTGGAGGTCCGACTTCTGGACTCAAGTGATATTTCTGGGACTAAGCTCACCGCATGGGAACCTCCAGCTTCTTCTGTTAAGACCCCAATGCTTTATTTCAGGTGGGTTGGAAAAAGAAGAAAATTCGAAAAATTCTTTACACATGCTACTTTGGGTTGTCCCAGACGCACCTGCTTCTAGTTAAGGACCCCACAGTGGTTAACACCTCCCCACACGTAAGGCTGTTGCAACACACACTCACCTTTGCCCTTTTCTGGGGGCTTTGGCAATGACGTTGGGCTCACATATCCTTCCAGGCTTAGAGAGTCAGTTTTTCTTTCTTCCGACTTTTTGATAGCCTTTGTATTTCCTTTGGAGGGGCTAATAATACATTAAAAAAAAAAAAGAAACAATATGTTGACAGGTTAGTTTTCCAAAACTTCTGATTTCATATTCAGTCCTTAAAACAGCATCTGTGTGTGTGTGTGTGTGTGTGTGCGTGTGCGTGCGTGCGTGCGTGCATGCATGTGCACGGGGGTGAGGGGCTAGGAATAAAATATAAAGAACAAAACATTTCCCATTTTAATCATTTTTAAGGGTGCAATTCAGAGACACTGATTACACTTTGATCACTACTACCTACGTCTAGGTCAGAACAGAAACTCAGGACCCTTTAATTAAAAATTTCCATTTCCTCCTCCTCTGTCTCCTTATAACCATAAATAAACTTTCATTGCTAAGCATTTACCTAGCCTCGATAGTTCACAGAAGCAGGCTCATACGATATTTGTCATTTTGTATGATCCCATATCTCTGAAGGTTCGAGGTCAGCAGTTTAGCCGCTCTGAAGGAGAAAGATGAGGCTTTCTGTTCCAGCAAAAATGACGGGCTCAGAAACCCTATACAGGGTCGTTACGAGTCAGAAGTGACTCGAGAGCACTAAAGCACAACAATTTGACTTTTTGCACTAAGCATGCTTCCAAGGTTCATTCAATAATAGTGGCATGAATCAGAACATCATTTCCCTGTGTGGTTTACTACTATTCCACTGTATGGCTACACCACAGTTTGTTTATCCAGTCATCTGCTGAGGGTCACTTGGCTCTCCTGTGAATAGCGCTACAGCGAACACGAGCATACACCAAAAGTCTACTTTTCCATCTTCCCGGCACGCTGACTTCTAAAGTGTACCCTTCCCTCACCTTGTGTTAGATGCAGGCAGAGGCAGACTCTGAGACTGCTCCAATGCTCTGTGCTGACTGGCTTCTACAAGGAGGAGAAATACACAGACCAGCCATTCGTGACGTCAGAAACTGCAGATCACAGCTTTACTTTTTTGCAAACATGTATCTTATAAATTTTCTGTATGCGAAATATAACAAAAAGTTTAAGCCCTCAACAATAGCAACACAATAGCCCCGCTAATGAATGGATAAAACAGACACATTTCTGAAGAACTTATATGAAAAGGTGCTAAATGTCCTATCATTAGGAAAATACAAATTAGAACAGTGAAGATTCTACCATATACCTATCAGAAGAGCTAAAAACAGCAACAACAAAAAATAATACCAATTGCTGTAAGGAACGCTCACTCCTGCTGCTCTAATGATTCAGCTACTTGGAAGAAAATTAAAAATACCATGTCACTTAAAAAATTAATTCATTACTATTTTTAAAGCTTTTATGCACAGCTTTACTTTAATGTGAGAAGATTAGCTTATACAGTTACGGATTTTGTAGTTACCTTTGACAAGAGTAAAAACACTCCAGGAACAAATGCTCAGAGGGAATGCTGGTCAGACATCCTTACCTCTACAAGCCTGCAGCTGACTTGTCAGCACTTTCCGGATCTCATTTACCCACGCTGCTTTTATCTCAGGAGTTGGTGCCTGTCAGCCCAAAAGAAAAGCCAGTAAGAATGGAAATCCCTTTAAGAAATGAGCTTTGGCATTCTAATCTGGTAACTTCTAAACACAATCTCAGGCATTTAATAATTGATCACTAAATGGAAGAAACAAGATGGGGGTAAAACGGTAGACACGCCTCCTTTCCTTGTAGACTGTGCTGCATGGGTTGCCTGACCCCTAGCCACATGGTTAGTTGTTGTTGTTAGGTGCCATCGAGTCGGTACCTACTCATTCCGACCTTATGCACAGCAGAATGAAACACTGCCCGATCCTGGGCCAACTTCACTACTGTTGACCACACTTGAGTCCATCGATGCTGCCACTTGGCCAATCCATCTCATGGGGGGTTCTTCCTCTTTTTCTCTGACCCCCCACCTAACCAAACATGATATCCTTCTCTAGCGACTGTCCCTCCTGACTATGTCTGAAGTATGAGAGACGAAGTTTGGCCATTCTGGCCTCCAAGGAGCACTCCGGCTGCACTTCTTCCAAAACATATCTATTGGTTCTTTTGACAGCCCATGGCACTTTCAATATTCTCCTCCAACACCATAAGTCAAAGGCATCAATTCTTCTACAGTCTTCCTTATTCACTGTCCAGCTTTCACATGCATATGAGGTTACTGAAAATACCATGGCTTGCGTCAGGCACACCTTAGTCCTCAAGCTGACATCTTTGCTCTTCAACACTTATAAAAGGTCTTGTGCAGCAGATTTGCCTAACACAGTATGTCGTTTTGTTTCTTGACTGCTGCTTCCGTGAGTGTTAATCGTTGATCCAAGAAGAATGAAGTCCTTGACAACTTCAATCTTTTCTCTGTTGATAAGAATGTTGTTTATTGGTCCAGTGGTAAGGATTTTTGTTTTC